TAGTGAGATATGGGAACGCTAAACGACACAATCTTAATTGTGTTGTGAACAGACACTTGAATTCATGCAGGGAATTTGGTGAATACTATCAGATTGTCTGTTGATTTTGAGCAGTCTGTTTATCCACAACTCTTCCATCCCTCCTCCTACATTGCACATCTCATCATATAAGACTAAAAGCAACTTTTTACTCAAACTACTGCGTATAAAAACCCTATGATAACGAGTTTGATGCACATTTCATGTGAGATGCAAATAGTGCTGCTGGATATGAACTACTAGTTTACTCACCAACCAGTAGAATAGTATAGTTTAAAAAATTACCACAAATATTAGAAGAGGGAGGCATTGACGAGGGTGTCATTTGCATGTAAGTAGGGATGTTCTCGATACTTAGTCCATTGTATGAATGAATTTCAAGCAGACAGACTTTTATGGGAACGTCCACATGAATAATGAGTGAATGCTGCAGACACTTGACATTTATATATTATCTTCAGCAGACAATGAGGTTATTCTGTTTGTTTTTCAGAACATACGAATTCTACTTTCATTTCATATGACTTCGGTTTTCGTGAAATTTATTTAGAAACTTTGTAGATCGTATAACTAGTAAAAGCCCCCAACGAGATGGATGTAACGAGACATCTGCTCATATATATGGCACTTTTGGTAATCAATAAAATATAATACACAGACTGCAGATTTTTCGTGCCAGTGAGAATGAAAGTGGTACTCCAAAATTTCTCTTTCACTGACTATAACTTTTCCTTCACTGATTTGACACTAATTAGTGTCATGTGCATCTGCAGACTGCGGTCAAGTTTGCAATATGGCACTAGGTGGCTGACTGGCTGTGCACTCGGTAATGTTGTTATTAGATGGATGGTTGGTGAAAATAGGAAGGAAGCCTTAAACACCTACCTACCTACCTAGGTTTCGTGTGTGTCGACACTCAGCAGTCAGTCAGCAAGGCGTATATGCAATCCTGAAAGAGACCATCTCTCCGCTCAGCTCCAAACTGGTCTCACTCGGTGCTGCAGTTAGAAACATCGTCACTTTGTGAGTTATTCTTTGCTTCTTTCTTGAACCATTAGTTAATTCAAAGTGGCCTTTGACATTATCATGTTGACTTTCATTTTGTAAAGCCCAATATGAAAGTGTTCCATAGACTATTTTTCATGTAATCTACAGAATTGCGAATAACAGTCATATATATATATATATATATATATATATATATATATATATATATATATATATATATATATATATATCTGTGTTTCTGTAGTTGTTTAAAAGCATGTTGTCTGCTTTTGTTTGAGATAAAATAATGCGGAATCGTGAATGCAGCTCCCTTTCTTTTTTATTCACCACACTATACACAACACTATTGAATCGTTCGAACCACCTTCCGACTTCAGTTCTCCAACTATTCATAGGATTCATGGGATAGTCAATTTTCTCTACACATCAGTTTGGCCAAGAAATCTAACAAGTTAAAACTGACTTTTTGCAACATTCATGCACATATGGTTTACGAAGTACACACATTCAAGCGCAAGAGTAATCATTGATTTGAAGTCAGTTAGCAGAGAAGATGAGTCCACGCTATTTATGACAGTCTCATCTTCATGTCTAACAACACTTTCATCACGTGTCTGTCTTATAAGGACTTTTGTGCTAAGGGAAATAAATGCTTCCTCCTTCGGTACACATTAACCCCAGTTTGAATAATGAAAATGATGAACCCTACGAAGAACTGTTTACCAGTCTATCTTAATTTTTACGTGTCCAACTTGCAAGACACATGGCGGCATCTAGATATCTTTATGCGTGTTGTATACGCAGCTCCAATCACAGGACCATTGAAGGCGCAAACATCGCACAAATAATCAGGACTTCAATGTATGCCATGATTCCGATATATAGCAAGTTTTTTATTTCCTTCACGTTCCCAGTGGAACATAGGGTCTCAAGCTAGTGGCCTAAAGTTTCAGTAGCAGTGTTTATTATTTTACAGGAAGGGGTTGCTAGCCTCATACCCAACCTTTCCTCTTCACCAGCTTAACTTCTGGCTGAGTGAGGTAAAGGAGTGCATCGGTGGTCGGTGATCGAACCCCGGACAATGAGCATGGTCAGCGAACGTCTTAACCGCTGTACCACCGACGCACTTATGGCAGTTTTACTGTCACCATTTGAGGGACGGATATTCTGCATTTTCTCAAAAGGGTAACAGAGAGAATATTCTGCCGTGTTCAGTAACATTAGAAACATGGGCAAAGTTGAACAATAGCCTCCGGAGGAATGCGAACGCACGAGTGACCTTGAGCCAATCATTCGTACAACCAACTGATTTTGAAACGGTAGAAGACGGAGACTTGGTGAAGGAGTGTTTATTTAGAAACCGGTATCTCTATTAGCTAAATTATATGTACTTCTTTTGTCTTCAACGTACCATTTGCAGATATCTTCGTGTTGTGGTACTTCTCGCCTCCTATCATATTGTGTGTGTATTTGTGTTCCTTTCACGTTGTCTCCCATGTATCTTTCAACAACGCTGTACTATTTGTCTTCTCTAAGATCGGATGTAACACCTTGCTATTTGATGTTTTTATACCGGCTGATGAACGTCTCTTAACAGTAGCAGTCCCCACAATTTTTGCAGAAAAATGACATTTATTTACAAGGAAATACATGAAACAGGGTATCTTTCTCTAACATGACTACTATTCAGCAAGGTGACTTAAGGTGAACTTTTATTTTGACCCGTTTATCGCTCTTATCCTGTTTTGCAGTCTTCCTCAAACGCTCTCGAATGAATTACTATGGTTTCCAGTAAGAGGATTATTATTTTAAAGTTTATTTCTTTACGTTACCCCAGTGTGGAAGAACATAAGGCGCCTTCAAGCTTGAGCTTTGCAGTTTCTATGCATTTCTGTGGCTAGTCTCATTTCCAATCTTCCATCTTTACCACTCTTATTAAAACGAACCCAACAGGGAACTGTTTGCCTGCCTAATGTTGTAGCTGATGAATGCAGTGCATAGATATGCAAAATTTACCAATCAGAAAAGCGTCGCGCTGATAAGCTCTAAGGTTTACTACTTACGAATATTCATCGATTCTCAGCGTATAGCAAACGTGTCAGACAAAGAGAGACTGATGCAAAACTTTCTATTATTATTAGTAGTAGTAGTATTATACAATTCATATGAACTCATGCACAAAAGCAGTCATTAGTAGTAGTATATCGAGAATGCGAGAGGTGAACAGAAGAGTAGACGAAAATTCAAGGAGTAGGTCTTACCAGCTCTCTTACATACTATTCACCTGTCGACTATACTATCAGAGTGTGTGTGTGTGTGTGCCTGTGTTATTTCTTGAGCTAGATAGTTGAATCACAAAGCGCTTGCATTATATTTTTCTCTATAAATCATCATCCTTCAGTGCTAACTTTACTTTCTTCAATCTATGTGAACCACAAATCTACATCTTTAATACATAGAAGAGCCACAAGGTTAGACCTATATCCTCATAAGAGGTAAATGAAGCTGAACTAGGCATTGATTGGACATGATACCTCCTTGATTGAAAATAGCCTAGCTATCCCGATACATTTATCATGAAACACACATGACAAGAAAGTTGACTAGTCTTCTCTATCCGTAAACAAGAAGCCTTTATAATTAATATTACATAAGACTGCAATTCAAGGGTGAAATATATACCTAGCGAAATAACACTACAAAGAAACTAAAAACAAATCTGTTCAAAGAACTTTTAATGTTGGCAAACTACACGCGTCTCATTCTCTACACAACCAACCGGTGGTGGGTAATTCCTTGATTGAAAGATAAAGTATCTAGACTAGACTAGCCACTTCTCTAATTGTCACCTGCCGATTCAACTGCGCTTATGGTGAAGCGAGTTATATTGGCCATTATTATTGCTCCAGGAACTCGACTTCTCGTCCTCGCTCAGGAACATCTACCAGTGCGGTGTGGCTAAATGAAGGTATAGTAAAAACCATCAACACTTCAATGTTAGACCACCTGGTACAAACCGATCGGTCACAAAGCCAGCCAGTATTGAAGAATTCTTCACCATCACCATCATCAGTTGACAAAAACACCGAGGTAATCCGTGCTCCAAACAGCAGAGGCTATCACGATTTGCCTTAAACAACCAGTGCTTTGTGTGCAAAAGTTGCAAGTGGAACCAGCCACTACTACTTCCCTGGCCAACCTTCAGTAGAGACAAGAAATTCATGAATTTGTATTATTATTACTTCAAAAGAATGGATACTGAACAAAGAGTACTCTTTTCGATAACCTCTTCATCATCAGGCTCTACATTTATACATACAGTATAGTGAATGAATGACTTAGTGTTATAAATGACATTAATGTTTAAATAACACTGACTCATTCATTCACTATACTGTATGTATAACTGTAGAGCCTGATGATGAAGGGGTTATCGAAAAGAGTACTCTTTGTTAAGTATCCATTCTTTTGAAAATTTTAATGGGCATTTTTAATCAGTTGTTATTATTTCTCCTAATTTTTCTCATATTCTTTCAGTGTATAGTGTTATGTTGATGACATTGAACTGTAATCCACTGATATTATTATTACTGATTCGATGTTATTTAAACAACAACATTTATGTTGCCAATATCACTAATTCATTCATTCACTATTATGGATGGATGCATATAAAACTGTAGACCCTCATGAAGAATAGGAGGTTATCGAAGAGAATATTACTAGTTCCAGTAATCAGTCTTTTGAAATTTATCAAAACTCAGGATTTAGGAGAGACAAAAAAGAAAACAACAGGAACAACAACTCAGCTTTATAACAATAGTTAAAAATACCAAGAGGAATGTGACAAGAGATAGTTGAACAGTTGAATTTTACACAAACATATACAAAGATATTAGAGAAGGTTACACACACGTACGAGATTGATTGTATGTGTGTTTGACTGGTGAAATTTAGATGAACACTTTAACCTACACACGTGGAAAGGGGAAAGAGAGAATAAAACACACATTTTAATCAAATTAATACTGAACCAGTACACATTGTAATTTGAATATATATATGAACATCAGATTTTTCAATTTGCAGTGAAAACTGCACGTTAAGGCTGTGTAACACAGCAGAAGGCAAGACACGGAAGCCAAGGATTTATATCCAAGTGATCAAACCGCTATTTATATAAATATCTATCTATACAGTTTTATGCTCGTTAATCAATCAATCACTGAGCGATCATGTGATTTTGGTTTACACTAAACGACATGAAATAGAATGTTCCAAGATATATATATATATAGTACTCTGTTGTGCTAATGCAGTATTGAAATGTGGGAATAGTATATATGTCAGAATAATATTCCGTTGCAGCACACAGTGTCTGCTTCACACCACCACCAACACCACAATATGTGACTAAACCATGCATATTGCAACAATAGCTGCTTGACTAGAAGCAATTGTGAACATAGTGCGAGTTGTTTTGCGTCACGGTGGATTTCTGTCTGGAAACGAATTATACTGCTGGTGAATAGCCAGCCAGCCAGCCGTGTAGCATAGATAGGGTATTCCCTCGGAATGACTAGCGAAGTAGTCAGTTATGTTGCCTTTCCGCCCTCTGGGAAGGAATAAAGAAAGATAGACCCAGAAAATTGTGTATCATGAGTCCCCCTACACACTGTGGGTGGTAGTCACCACCCCTTTCGGAGGGTCAATCCTACACACGATTCTTGTCAAACTACTTCGATTCTTAATATGATTCATAATATAAGGCTTCAGATGTGAATTCATAAGTTTCGCAACTCACAAACTATGCGTTATATATATATATATATATATATATATATATATATATATATATATATGCAATTTCTTAGACACACGTAAAATGCGCAACCCTCCCTATAGAATAAGGGCGATAAGCTCACCACTTCAGCGAACTGCAATGTATAAGTTCTTCACGTGTTGACATTTAAATCACATCACAGCTAACCATTAGCGTCATCAGTTTACCATATTTTTCAATATGCGCTTTGAAAGTGCTACTGTTTACAGAAGCGAGAATGTAATGAGAAAGAAGAAACCATGCTCCCATGTATATACAGGCAGTCGGATAGAATAAAGATGTCAAATCCAGCCAGTCAGTCCGAGTCGGAAAGGCGAGATACGCGCGCCTTCATCAACCAGAAACCTGTGTGGAAATCTTCTACACTCCACTCCGCCTCAACTCAACATAAACAACAAGATTCACATTTTCAACACCAATGTCCAGTCAGTCAGTCAGTCAGTCGGTTCTTCTATACGAGTCAGAAACGTGGCCAGTGAGTCACGAAAAGGATTTCCAACAGCCTGTTGCAGACTTTTATCAACAGCTGCCACCTTGGCTGGCTGCCTAGCTGGATGGCTGGCTGACTGACTCCATACTGAGGGTCAAATCGCCAGCCAGCCAGCCAGCTAGCCATCAACAAGAAACTCTGCAGTGGAACAAACCAACCAACCAACAGCCGATCGCTCAACGAATATGTAGGCAAAAATGGAGATGGAATGATCGCGAATACATTGAAGAAACTGTTGAATGAAATCGCGAACAATGCAGGCCAAGTATTGTTTAGGCCAGCTCTATGTTCCAGTCCGGAAGCCAAAGGAATAACAATTAGAAAAACATTTAACTTACTTCATTGACGCGAAAAGTTCGATAAATACGACATGTTGCTCCACAACACATAGACCGGCATTTACGACATGATAAATGGCATCCTGAACACTTTGGTCTCATACAATCACATATATCTTCCAAAGTTTGCAGAAGACGACCACGGGAATCATACAGGTAACGCATACGGCTGTGAAAGAGATAATAAATCAGAAAAAAATGGTGTTTTTTTTTAAAAAAAAAAACGGGGATGATCGATAAAATCCCATTCGATATTTGTTATTTGGAATTAGTTGTATTCTCTGAGGAGCTGGCTGATTTGTTTGTAAATTGCGAAGCTTTTGTCGTCATCCGCCCTCCTTCTATACAACATCTCCACTTCAGTGCAAGTTTTAGCATGAAATGAACTTATTGGATGAATTCCCCGCTCCTCCATGAATGATGGATGATATAATTGTGTCTCCTGACAGACAACCTTTATCATGATGGATTGTTAATTTACATCTGTATTGATCATTTTTTTATGGACTTGGAATTCGACCTTCTTTTCTCATGTCACGTGATTTACTTTCTATTAGCTGGTAAATTTAGCTGTAAAAAGACAAGAATATACATGTTCTTTCATATCAATCAGTGCATATAGATAATTATGGACACTAATCTAGTGATCGAGATTATGTCGAAATTTCGAATAGAGGAAACACCATAATTACTGCCAGAGAATTCCTAGAAGCCTAGTTGGTAGTCAAGTGAATCAGGCATCGATTAACAAACACACACGTTAATATTACTATAGACCAAATTTACCAACTAATAAAAAGTAAATCAATCACGTGAAATAACAAGAAAGTTCAAATTCCGAGTCAATGGGCAACTGGTGATAAAAATGTTCGTCCCTACCTACCAAAAGAAAAACAATACTTGGTTACTCGAAGTGTACCTTGTTACAAAAGAGTGAAACAAATGGAAGATCACAGTGAAGAGTTTGAAAAGGTTTTAGAAGAGGAGGATGGTGAAGGTGGTTGGGTAGATACACATCACTATGCAGCTAAGTACGGTAGGTGTGTGTGTGTGTGTTTCTGTGTGTTATATCATATTAGAGTTTAATTCTTCATTCATTCTTATTGTATTGTCTGTTTTCTGCCATCCTTTTCAGCTGGCTGACCCCACGATTGCTCATAATCTCTCATCTCCTCATTCTCCTACTAGCCACACGATCTCTTCCATGTCATCCTCCTACCGACGACGACCCACTCGCCCGTCGCTTCCCATTCGGATTCCACTTGAGTGATTGGCGGCCTGCATTGTTCGCGATTTCATTCAACGGTTTCTTCAATGTATTCGCGATCAATCCATCTCCATTTTCGCCTACATATTCGTTGAGCGATCGGCTGTTGGTTGGTTGGTTGGTTCCGCTGCAGAGTTTCTTGTTGATGGCTGGCTGGCGATTTGATCCTCAGTATGGAGTCAGCCAGCCAGCCAAGGTGGCAGCTGTTGATAAAAGTCTGCAACAGGCTGTTGGAAATCCTTTTCGTGACTCACTGGCCACGTTTCTGACTCGTATAGAAGAACCGACTGACTGACTGGACATTGGTGTTGAAAATGTGAATCTTGTTGTTTATGTTGAGTTGAGGCGGAGTGGAGTGTAGAAGATTTCCACACAGGTTTCTGGTTGATGTAGGCGCGCGTATCTCGCCTTTCCGATTCGAACTGACTGGCTGGCTGGCTGGCTTCGACGTCTTCATCCGTTCCCACTGCCTCTGGTTGAAACGATGCTTCCTAGCCAGATAAGTGAAGGCAGGAAGTAACCTGTGTTAAATCTCTATATCGCGTTGATGGTGATTGATGCTAGTCGTTGTTGTTGTCGTTGCTTTTCGTTGGTTATTTTCATCACCTCCGTCTCCATCTTCTCTATGTTCACCTGAGTGGAGTCGTGTCTTCGCTGTCAGCCAGCCAGCCAGTCGGTTGCCAGTTTTCGCCTGCCTATAAGTCTTCTAGTTCGTGTGACACTAAACACAGGCCATCTGGGAAATCCAGATCTTATAGAGTCTTCTTATCCGTGAGTCCAGCGTATTTCTGTCTCCTCTCTACCCACTCACAGTTTTCCGCATAATTTATTCCACCAGAATTAAGAATATTGTAGTCAGTAAAAATTGTTTCAAACACAACATATAACTGTAGCCAAAACGTCGCATACTTACTTAGGTGCTTTACGTTTGGATCGAGTATTCAGTTGTTTACGAATACTTCGCGTTAAATTAGGCTCAGACCAATTTACTTTCAAGCTTTTCATTCGTCTACCTGGATTTACAAATTTAAGACGATCAAGTTCACGATTCTCTGAAACACGATTGGCACTATGACGTTTTCTACGAGCAGTGCGTTGAACACGTCTCTTCGGAAGAGAACGCTGACGATTAGAAGTAGAATGAGAGACAGATTTACGCGCCATAGGTTTTTTTTTAACCAATGGTTTATTAGGCATATTTGTTGGTATTTTTATTATGACTACTGTCTGTGGAGTAGACATGATAAGGCTTGAAATAAAAAAGAAAAGAAAAAATAACGACGAGAATAAAAGAAAGGTTAAAGTGTAACAACAGCAACAACAATCAAAAAGAAAAAGGAGATACGCGTACATCGATATTGTATACGATCTCATGTCAAGTGTCAATATATATATATATATATATATACGAAACCATTCACTACACAATACTATAGGATATTCATGGTTATGGTGGTGAGTCTTTGGGGGAGGAGAGAGAGGGGTAAATGTTTCAGCTTTCTTCCTGTTATCGTGTATAAACATAGTAAGCCTAATTTACCTGAGAACGCCAAGTATATCTGAGAAATATAAAGATTAAGCGATTTACCTCTAGTGAAATCAAACACAGAACAACGTTTGCTTTTTGCTGTAGTTGTGTTCTCTCAGCTAGCGGAATGGTTTATCAGTAGCACTCCCACTAAAAGCAACAAAAATTGAACAAAGATATCTGATGGATGTCTTCCAAAAGAATGAATATCCACGGAACTTCATCAAAAAAAAAAAAAACTACCAATAAGTAAACCCACCAACCAACCAACCAAATCGAACGCCTCCAAGGAGAGAACAAATAAAATCGCTCTACCATACATAAAAAAAAACATCTCAGAAATCACTGCAACACTCACTCTTCAAACCTTTAGGTATTCATGTTGTACACAAACCAACAATGTCACTTCACTCAGCTGGCTGTGTATAAAGCAAAAGACTCAACGGCAGAAGAAGATGAAATCAACATCATCTACAAGATAAATTGAAAAGACTGCGAAAAAACACTTATATTGGCAAAAGTGAATGACCCTCCTCTTCGTCTTCGTATCCATGAAACATAAACTGGGCGTCAAAAGACACGACCACTAGACCATAAAAGGTGACTCAAGTGGTCTAGTGGATAACGCTGTGGCGTTTGAAACTATAGGCACTGGTTTCAAGCCTTGGTGGGTACATCCAGCTAACTTATGAATCCCAAATAGGATGAAATGCACATCCTGGTGATATTTCGAGCCAAATTACTGCCCGTGATCATCATACCATCTGTTGGCATTGTTTTGTATTTTGTAATTCAGAATTATATTCCAGGTTGTTGACAGAGTTGTCCTGTTAACTCACCCTTGTTACATCTATCCGGTGTGATCCTAATGAATATAGATTCTGTTGTTAGTAGTCTGTTCTTCCGTTTGTTCATATATTAGTTTTTAGAGTACAAACATTGTTCCAATCGATATACTGTGTTTTCTGTCCCATGATGCATGGGCAGCTATAAACGAATTTTTTTTTCCTAAATTGTTTCAAGCTTGTGTTCCTTCCTGTTTGTTGTTTGTCCTTTAGTCGGTTATGTCCATTCACTCTTATTCTGAGCGATGCGGATGCTTGAACCACATATTAAGTAGGACAGTCGATACAAGATATTTTTTGTAAATTACCTTACTACTTTTAGCCATCACTTTTATTTCTAATTTAGATTCGTCAGTTTACACGTGTTGCGAATCTCAATATTGTAGAGGTTTCTTCGAAGTGCCTCTGATGTACCACTTTCTTATGGTATTATGATGATTGTGTCCTTTTTGTCTTCCGCCCTCTTGTCATTCTCTGGTTTTACCCTCTTCTTTATATTATATATCTCAGAAATTCTTTAGGGCAGTTGTTATCGAGTAACATTTTGAACAAGACGTTTATTTCTTCTCGTCTGGTCATCTGGTGTTGTTGTGCGTAAGTCTACGTATTCTTTCTAAAAGACCTTGAATTTTAACCCTTGTTTTACTGTGAATAGATGAGCTGAGTGATAATCAAGCAATCTCCCAGCATAGCGGCGCTTTTATGCAACCATCTCTGTTTTTTTCCTTCACGTTCCCAGTGGAACATGGGGTCTCAAGCAAGTGGCTTGAAGTCTCTGTAGCAGTGTTCATTTTTACAGGATGGATTTGCTAGCCTCATGCCCAACCCTTCCTCTTTACCAGCATTATGTCTGGCTTAGCGAGGTAAAGGATTGCGTTGGCGGCCGGGAATCGAACCCCGAACAATGTGCGTAGTCGGCGTGCATCGTAACCACTATGTATTTAATTGTAGAGTTAGAAATGCAGGAAATTATCGAAAAGGATATTCTTCGCTCAATCATTTTGCTTTTCCAGATGGTTGAATGAATATTTTCTCTATATATAATAATAATAATTGACTAATTATTTATTTAATTCCTTTATGCTCCCCCGTGGAATATAGAGGGGGCTTTGAGCTGGAGCTTTGAAGTCTCCGTAGCCAGCGGTGTTTTTTTTTGTTTTCATGAGATGCGGTTGCCAGCAGCCGTGCGCTCAACCTCCCCTCCTTTACACCGACTCTGTCAGATTTCAGGAATGCGTCGGTGGGGGATCGAACTTCGGATCATGTGCGCTTGGTTGGCGATCAGCGTTCTACCGGTGAATCATCGACTTGTGACTTGTATCACTGTGAATCCTATCTAATTATTTGCATTTCATTTTTGTGAATGAGTGTGACGTTTATTAACTGTTAGAGTTACCTAGCATCGTACTGTGTATTAAAATTAATTTGAATATTCATAGAGTTCCGTCCAGTTAATTCGATAAACATCTATCTAATGATTTAATACCAGTAACAAAGATGGTTGTACGTCGGCGGCATAGTGGTTACGATGTACGCCGACCACGCACATCGTTCGGGGTTCGATTCCCGGCCGCCAACGCAATCCTTTACCTCGCTAAGCCAGAAATAATGCTGGTAAAGAGGAAGGGTTGGGCATGAGGCTAGCAAATCGATCCTGTAAAAATGAACACTGCTACAGAGACTTCAAGACACTAGCAAGCCACATATATTTATCGATTTAGGGGAAGGAGAAAAAGAAACACCGGGTAAAGCATATATATACATATACATATATATATATATATATATATATATATATATAGGTATTTTATTATTTCACCGCTAACACAGATCGAATAACATTGATACATATAAGGGCATAGGATTTGTGCACTATGTATTGGTAGAGTATAATTCTATTGTGGGGTAAAAACATATTTTGATAAAATAAACAAACGTATAAATAAATAATGAACAGTTTTTTAGATAATTCATCACAGACAGATTGTGCAACACACTGCTAAAACCCCAAGGATCATGTATGTATCGACTTTATTACACAATTGACAATAGAAAAATAACAACTGATGAATAGATAGATTGAGAACACAGTAGACTCCACCCCCCCCGTGCTTTGAAATATGAGGAAAATAACACACATAAATCACAAAAACATTATGACCCAGTGGGTCTGGGGTCAGACAACACACACACAGAAAATTTGGAAGATTGTGCTCTTTTTTCAGCATATAATAATAATAATAAGCTATTAGATAATTTAATGCATAACTTCTTTATTCAAAAGCAGTCAGCCGTGTCCATTCAACTCGCCTCCAGAGTTAAGAATCAATAATCTGTGTACACACAAAGAGGCATTTGCGTGTGTGTATGTGTGTATAAGTTGAAATTAACTTCATGATGATAGATTAAAATTTCGAGTATAATCATACTCAATAGTAGGTATAACAGCTTGTACAAATTTTAAAAATATCATAAGATATTGATGAACAGCTAATTCGGAACCACCATCGGCTACAGCTTCAATTAATTTACGCATAACATCAGCTTGTCGACATGGATGAATTGATGGCATCATATGACCAGATAGATGTGGATGAACTTCAGTTGTGACAGTTTTATTCGCATGATCTTGACTAAAAAATAAATGAACCAACCAAAAAAAAGGGCAGAAAGATATTAGTGGAAGTAGTAACACAGGATCATTGTGTATACACATATATACCTGTAGCAAACCAAGTTTCACTTTTAAAAAGTTTGAACAAAAAAATTTGGGCATTTGGTGGTGGTCGTCGTGGTCATGGTACATGATATTTCCGGCCGAAAGCTGCTACCTTGACGTGGTGGTCGGGCTTGAACACCACAACGACCCAACAAGCTATATTGGCTGACACTTATGTCTCTTGAAGTCCTACCGTGCCAGAAAGGTTGTTTGGATAGCCGTTAGACAAAAGCAGCTACCCAATACAATACTATGATTCAAACAAATTCACAAAATATCATGCCGGATCTGCCGTGGCCCAGATTAACAACGACCGCGCTTTCTGCTGCCGTGTCACAGGGCAGAAGTGATAAATACGCTACTGAGACACACCAAACAATAAAGAACAAACAAAAACAGGCCGCGTGTGACCGGACTCAAGCAGTTGTCCCCTGGGCTCTTGGGTCACGCAACCAACTTACACGGTGTGGGCACAGACGGGAAGTAACAACCACCCACACATTTCCAAAAGCAAACGAAGCCTTCTTGAGCATCATTCTTCCTTACTCACGTTACCTACCTCATCTTGCTTCTCTTCTACAGTTAGCACATGATATTCATCATAATAGAGGTTTTTTTGTATTTCCCAGTGAATGAAAAACAAAAAAGGATATTGGTGTCGTTATTTTTGTCTGTCTGTCTGTTTTCGACATAGAACTTTGCACAAATGTGCGGAAGTTCAAGTCGCCACACTCAGTGTAGCACGCGAATCAAGAGAAGAAAGTACAAGAAAAGCATAATAGAGGCAGTGAGCAGAGGTGTGAGACAAACGAGAAATAACGAAGAACAAAACAGTTTCATTGGAGATCATAAGTCACAAGGAGTGGATGCATCTGCGCCACCAAGAACGATTTTGAGCCATGTCACCAATTGTTTCCAAACATTGATTTTTACCGTCTCGACGACCCCAGCCTGGAAGTCTACACCTTCCTACGTGGCTTAAACCAACTGTTGTGGATAGGACAACAAGCATCACTAGCCAAGACCCTGGAATCCCGAGCCATTGATGTATGTTGTGTTTCAGAAACACGCATACAAGACCCAAGTGTGGTTATTCACCTAACCCCACCTAGCCAACAGGATGAATCTGCAAAATTCACCTTGAGAGTGTCAGGAGATGCCACAGCTAGCTCACGAGGATTAGCTGGTGTAGGGATAGCTTTGAGTACTAGGGAAGAAAAGACACTGCTTGACTGGATCCCGGTAGATAGCCGAATGTGTGCTGTCCGTCTGAACGGGTCAGTAAAAAGGAGAAAGGACTGCACTACTCGTCGTTATTTTTACTGACTGACGACGTTACGCTATTTAATGTTGCTGCTGTCGCCGCTAATAGGTTTATCATCAAAGGAGTAATATTAAACCAGAAGAATTTACAAAATCCACTCAGCTTATATATACACACATACATCGTTCATCAGCATGGGATCATTTTTATGGTGTTGTCAAGCTGGCCAATTAGTAAAGATAACAAAACCAAATGTGTGTTTAGATTGTTGGATTTGATAAGTGTGTAAAATTATACAAAAGTAGCGTGTGTTTACATAATGAAATTGATTATCAGTCACATTCGTGTTGATTTTGTCATTTAATATGAGAAGTCGGGGTATGTGTGTTGTAAAGAGGTCAAATTCTGTTTCAGCCCATCATTCCTATTCAGTTCAGACAATTTGGATTCCACCCATTTGATGATGTGAAGTGCTTCTGATAATATCAGATGTTCTTTATGATTTCTGAAACTATTTCCGGATGATGATTTCAATATATTGTCAAAATCAATTTGGCGGCCTGATTCCATAGCGAGTAAAAGACCTATGGCTTTTCTAGTTCATAAACTGGATTTATTCTTCGGTGGTCGAACAGACGCTCCACGGTGTTCATTCATTCTAATTACTTTGATTTCCCTCTAGCGATGTTTGTCCGATGTATACCGCATCACATTGCAAGCGTTTTACTTTCCAGACACAATTTGGTAGAGATTCCTTAGAGACTTGGTCTTTTATATGGAGTAGGTTGCTTTGCAGTGTCCGTGTGTGTCTGATGTTTTGACGAAAACTCTGATGTCTTGCTGATGTTGAGTACTCTTCTGGTATCTATCATCTGACGTCAAAGCCTTGGGAATACATTTTCGACCATATTTAATGTCAGTGTTGCTTTTGTTAATGAAGTTCTTTGGCTGGCTGTTTTATTTTTGAGGTTCTCATTAATGTTTAATATTTCTTCTTCTTCTTCTTCTTTTCCCTTCTCATCCGTCATCAACGTGAAAATTATCCCATGCTGATGAACGATGATTAAATTGTTATATACCACATATAAGCTGAATGGATTTTGTAAATTCTTCTGGTTTAATATCACTCCTTTGATGATAAAGCTATTAGCAGCAGCAGCAGCAGCATTAAAAAAGTGAAACGTCGTCAGTCAGTAAAAATAACAACACCAATATCCTTTTTTGTTTTTCATTCAATCATTGGGAAATGCAAAAAAACAAGAATCTTTATTATAAAAATTCATTGTATTACTCATGTGTAGAATAAACTACTACTTACTTTTCGTAGATTTTTATTCATATCATAACCAGCAACAATAATCTATCCAAATGATGATGGTTTTAAATCTCCAACTATTGTTCACAAAATCGCTCATTACTACTCTCATAACCACAATCATATCAAGACACTACTCACTTTCTTGCTTCATTGTTTATATACATGAGTAAAAATTAATGATGACTAGACTGTAACAACAGAAGACAAGGACCAGGAAACAGATCCTTTTATTACGGAAATCACTAAGTATTTATATATATATTTCATGTACATTATTATTATAGCTTATTCAATCAGACAAACACAGTCTTCTGATTGGTTGTTTCTAGTTTCTCGGAAAGTTAAGCCATACATCTGCGAATCTTATTTGCCCACGTTAAGTCTTCTGTGATTAGTGTTGTTGAATCAGCCTTGTTCATATTTTCTCACGGCCAATATTAGTGACCTAGACATTGACGTAAATTAATGTCTACCAATTGGCTAGCAGCCTGCTCTCACCACAATATAAGATTAGAAGAAAGTGCATTCGGAAATAATAATAATAATAATGATATTAGTGTTATCAGTCCAAGATGCGAAGGGAAATAACACGAGTGTTTTTATAGTAAAATAAATAAATAACTTGGTGTTAGAATATATATGAATTGAATTGAAATAGCACTTGAACATTATTTATAATCCTGTTCTGATTTGACCGATTGATTGGCTGGTGGTAATAATATCTTGTGTATCTCTGGAATTAGCTGGCGATGATGATGAGTCACTTCTTTTACATATGTTGTATTGTGTTGAGTATGTAGACTCGATGAACCAGGATTCAGTCAGTAATCAATCTCTCTCTCTCTCTCTCTATCTCCACCTACCTACTACTTATATTACTTTTTAAAATTTTGACTCTGTCCCACCCACCCTAATGTGTGATTGTGTGTTAATGCATGCAGTATTACTGCTGAGCTAGAATGATTGATCCCACGAAGATAATTTAGAAAAGATCTCGTCTTATTTCCTATTTTATGGTATTTTATTGATAACACTAATATTATTATTTCCGAATGTACTCTATCTTATGATGATTTTATTCAATCAAATATCCAAACAACAATTTTTACTCATGTATATAAATGAAGCAAGAAAAATAGGTGAGTACTTTGATATGGATTATGAGCAGTTATAAATTGTGTTCGAAACGTCCTCATAAGCAAATTTTACTGTTGAAGGCGGTGGCTAGGCATGCATGCGTAACACATGTCCTAACCATCTCAATTGACGTCACTTCACAAGCTCGTCTATTGATTTCCCCTCCTTTCCGAGTACTCGACCGATCAATGCCTCACCTCAATATTGCTCACCCTATTACACACCACCACCTGACACGGGAGATAGAACACAAACACCTACGAACAAAGACAGCTAGCTGGCCAGTCTTTTCATGTCTCCCACTGTGAGAATGGCCATGTCTCACAGCCAGCCATAAAGGAGGACGGAGCGAACTGCTGCTGAGCAGTACATACGTGGTTTGGACGACAGCCAGTCAGTCACAGCCAGAGACGGCGTAAACTGACATATGCGAAATAAGCCTTATGTATCCGTACCCAGCTGAGATTTCGTCGACGATCAACTCGCTGGCGTTGACTGATGCAACTTTCCCCCTAAATAAGTGAAGTGGTTATCACGCCCCACCAACCACTTCACTCCATATCTCTGAGCTGAGTGGGAGTCAATTTATTCCGTTCCGGTAGCTTTATCATCTAACATTCAAATCATGAATTACTTTAACCACTTAAATCACATCAGATGATATGAAACAGTAATTTCTCCTTGAGTTACAGTCATCCCATAAAGATAAGCCGATCAGAATAATAAGAGCTGATAGATTGTGATGAGAATCATGAGTGGCCACCAACAAGCGCTCGCCTGAGTGTACACAACGACAACTTCATCAAAATAATTTCCCAAAATCATATATATATATACATGTAATTTAGAAGGAACATAAATCATTTGACCCGTAGTAAAAAATAAACTATACACACCTAAAGTCTTCATACATTTCAGTTTCTGTCAACGGTTGATGGTGTTCATCATAACCGAATAGCCATAAACGTGGTGTTTGATAATACTTATCATAAGTAATGTATAAGTCATACGTTCGTGTTTGAAGAATTCCACTGTTATCACCTTTCTGATCAATTTCACATCCCAAAGTAATTTGATCAGTATTATTTGAGATACAGGGAACTTTTGTTCGAGCATTGACAGATGCTGGATCACACTAAAAATGAAATAAAAAAAAAGGAAGAAGAGTTATCAGGCAAACATATATATATATATATATATATTTATGTGTTATGATGTGATTGATGAAACAGACAGACAGACGAACAGACAGTTTTACGGTATATACATGAATGAGAGTCAAGGCTATATATATATATATATATATATATATATATATATATATTCCTTTTCTAATGCCTGTTTGAAGTGAAATGGTTATTCCTGCCTTGACATGATGATTGTTAAGCATACTTTTCATGAATTCTGTGCTGGTATGTTTGAGGAATACCATGAACTGGCTTCACTGAACACGCGTGGCTACATGCGTTCAGTATTTCGAGAGAAATAATATTATTTATATTATTATTTCCTTTAATTCCTAGAGGAACATAGGGCTTCAGCCGCGCGTCTCCATTGCCTTCGGTTCTCTGCTAGAGCCTTCACCTGGCTCCAAGTCTGTCTACATGTTTTCATCTCCTCCCCTTCACATGACCTCCTCCAAGTCACCCCACCATCTCACTGACGACCAACTCGCCGCCCGCTTCCCTTCCGGGTTCCACTCGAGCGATGGCTTGTCTAGTGATATCACTCGCTTGATGGTTTCCTCAGAGTATGGCCAGCCAATCCACCTCCATTTCTTCCTGCCTATTTGTTGCACGATCGGTTCCTGGTTGGTTTGCTCTCAGAGATCCCTCCCTGTTGCTGATCTTTTCTAGCCGGCCATCTGATCTTGAGTATTGAGCGAAGACAACTAGCTGTTGATGAAGGTCTGTAGTTTGTTTGAGGTGCTCTTTATGACGCGCTGTCCAAGTCTCTGATCCATATAGTGAGTAGCACTGACTGATTTCACATTGGAGTTGAAAATCTGGATGTTATTTTTGATGCTGATTAGTGCTTTTGACCTCCACACAGACTTGGGAGTAATGAAAGCTTGTCTTGCTATTCTGATTCTTGCTTTGATATCTTCATCAGTTCCGTCAGCCTGTAGTTGAAACGATGCTTCCCAAGTAAACAGGTAAAGGAGGTTGTTTCTTTCAGGTACTTATAAGACAGAATGGAATCCTCTGCATTTGTCACAATATTGCATTTAATTTACTCAAAATATGAATATCATTAATTTCAGGAATTCATCCACATTTACAATATAATATTATTATTACTCCCTTGGGTTCCTAGTGGAACATAGGGCTTCAACTGCACGTCTACACTTGCTTCTATCTTCTGCTGTACTTTTCACCTGCATCCATGTTAGTCCATACTCTTTCAACTCCTCTTCACACGATCTCCTCCATGTCACCCTTGCACTGACATCCCACTCGCCGTGTGCTTCCCTTTCGGGTTCCACTCGAAGGCTTGACGCGCGATGTCACCCAGCGGTCTCCTCAGCGAGTGACCGATCCATCTCCACTTTCTCCTGCATATTTCTTGGGCGATTGGTTTTTGCTTTGTTTGTTCCCATAGTTTCCTGTTGGTGATTCTTTCCGGCCATCTGATCTTCAGTATAGAGCGAAGACAGTTGTTAATAAAGGTCTGCAACCTTTTCGAAATATTCTTTGTGACCCGCCAGCCAAGTTTCTGATCCGTATAGAAGAACTGACTGACTTGACGTTTGTATTAAAAATCCGACCGAATTTCGTTGTTGATGGTGAGTGACGAAGTTTTCCACATTGATTTCAGGTTGACGAATGTGTTTCTCGCCTTCCCGATTCTCGCTCGATTTGATATCCTCGTCCGTTCCCCCTGTAGTTGAGACAATGCTCCCTCCCTAGATAAGTAAATGAATGAAGTGACCTCCTCTTTCAAACCCCTCCCGTTGATGGTGATTGACGCTGGATGTTGCTGCTGCTGTTGTTGTTCGAAGTACAAAATGAAAATAATAATAATAATAACAGTGAGTTTGTTTCAAACACCATTGTCGATTCAGTTTGGAAACTATAGCACGTTATTATAGAGTATTAAATCTAATGTTCTGTTGATATAGCATGGTGAAGGGAAAAACGAAAACTGAGAGGATTATAAATATAAGAAGAATAATAACAGTAAAGCTTGACTGACTGACGGTGTAAGGATGGAGAAAATCGTTGATTTACTAGAGCAAAGAAGTTTAGTTAGTTAGTTCATCCCCGACGCTATTTTCCTGACATAAAATACGTGCCAAATTTGGTATAGTGGAATTTTATACTTAGATGTACGTGCACATAAAGTCTTCTGAAAAGACTTCTTGTTTTACGTGAGGAGGAGACACAAGGTTGGAACTGCAGGTAAATTGGATGCTCATAGGCTGATAAAATCCCTTTAGCGAATTTGTTGCATAAAATCAAGTGCCTATCGTGAATGACGATGTCAACGATATGGCCCAATGGGATACCACTCGTCCTACTGTCTGGCTGACAGTCCTCAGAGTTCTACGAAGTATGACATAGTCTTTTTTTAAGCAATCCAGGAGAGAATAAGCATGGGTGAACAGTAAAGAAGAATAGGTAAGATGCACAAGTTGATAAAGTTATATGTCTGTATCTTAACTTAGGAATCGCCAAGACATGGGAAGACCAGGATAGTGATATAAGTATAAAACTTGGGCACTGTGGTAGAGTATAATGAAGACCAGGATGCGTCAGAAGAAAGAATTAATCCAAAATAATTAACGTCAGACTTAATTTCTATATCAGTATCATCAATTTTACAACGATCATAGGAATCAATAGCTTCATTTAACTTTCTCTTACATCGGAAACTGAAATTAACAGTCTGACATTTGGAAGGATTTAGTTTAAGACCATTAGACGAAACCATTTGCTGACTTCTGATAGAAAGCTAGCAGAGCATAAAAACCTAGCAGCAAAATCTAGATTAGTTGACCCCAATAAGATAATAAGACACCCGGAGAGAATAGTTCAGCTATACCACTCACTACATACAATTACACACAACCATACAATATAGGATGGGATGGTATAAGATGACGGTGTTAAAATCTAATGAAACAAGGTGGAGAGAGAGAGAGAGAGAAATTGATAACGCAAGCTTTGTTTATCGAATCAACACGTGTAATAGGAACGATCCAACACGTGTTCACGCTAACATCTGGAAAATTCTACTAATACCCTACGACAAATAGGCGAGAATACAGAAACGTACAATATTGAATTCTATGTTATCAAATTTCACACCTTTTCATGCAACAACATTTAATATTAGTCTAGTAATCTAATAATTATACAACCCCTCCCAACATCTACACATCTAATGAATTACCCTACATATGACACTAATTGTTTTGCTACCTAACACCTAACTATGATTATAATCACAAACACTTTAATTGCAATTCATACTACCATGATTATATATATATATATATATATATATATATATATATATATATATACGATTGTACAGCTTGATGAGAAATACGTTGTTGATAAGAGTCTCTTTGCTGAAAATATCTTGTGTTCTTAATCCTACAATGGGAATTATTAAATTATTGAAAAACTATAAAACTCAAGTTTCCAAGTCATGTGATTGTAATTGACGAAATGATTATCAGCAATAATTTGTGTTCGAAACTCTATCATCCAGTAAATAATACTGTGGTGAGAGCCTCAGGATGGTCGGGGGTGGGTGCCTTGCGCTGCGGGTTGGCCACCCCTCCGTACACCTCTTGAAATGCTCCCATAAGACGGGGCGTCTTACATAGCCTCTCCTGAGGAAGTCCTACTCACTGCCTTCACGTGGCGGAGGTGTTTTTCACCGAAGTGAGAGGGCAAAAGCGGATGCCCGGTGCTCTTCACCGGGTTGACTGTCCATTGGATGACAGTCTAGGGGAGATGGCTAAACCCTGATTCCAAACCTCCAACGACTGGCGTATGAAGCTCACCGGAGCTCACCGGCAGACGTATGGACAAAGGGCTTATTAGATGCCCTGGATGACTGGCCCCATTCAAAAAGGCGTATGAACCGGACTCCGGTCACCGGCTGCCAATGGATAGTGGACTCCCTACTCCACTCCTACTGCCTTGCAGGTCACACTTGGTTGTGTAAAGGCTAGAGCTGCACTCTCAAACAAAAGGCCGAGCGATGCTGGGGACATCACTCGTACCTAATTCCCATGAAACTTCATGAACTCTCTACAACTTAAACCAAATTCCGGTAGTGGTCCAACAACGTCGCCTTCGGTGGTTTGGCCATGTTCTGCGCCGACCAGATGACGATCTGGTCAAATCAGTTCTAAATCCCTCGCCATTTCCATCTTGGCGATGTCGCAGGGGTGGACAGCTGAAAACATGGCTTGGTACAGTCAAGGCTGATATGGAGTGGCCTGGGGCTACAAACCGTCTACGGACTCCGTCTGTGGAACAAGAATTGGATAACCCTGTTGCAAAACCTTGCATCAGATCGCCGCGCCTGGGCAGCGATGATTCGAGATGTTCATGAAGCCGGCTCATCCTCCCGTAGGAGATAGCCGAAGTAAAGTAAAGTAAGTAGGTGAGAGCTGGCTGCTAGTCAAAGTTGGGAGATATTAATTTACGTGAAGGTTTATGTCCCCAATAATGGTCGTTAGGATGATGAGAAGAAAGGCTTTGCGTAGGCGGATACAGTTAACGTGTAGATGATCTGAAGAGATGCAAGGTTAACTTTCTGTGAGAAACAACCAATCAGAAGACTGTATTTTTCTACTAACAATAATCTATAATAACCTACATGAAAATCGATAAATATGTGTTGATTTCCTTAAATAAACGATCTGTTGCCTGACCCTTGTCTTCTGTTGTTACACTAATACTGTTTCACTCACTGTGTGTGTGATATACCTAATAAATAAATTACTACGGAAGCATGTGAAGGTAAAATAAGCACTGTGTATTATACCACTCAGTGTCAATATAACATTCAGAAAAACCGTGAGAAATAAATAAATAAATGAAACAGTGTGTGTCTGTGTGTGCATGACATAACTTCATTGATGAAAATTTTTTCCACTGCGCAGATTAACAG